ACGGGTAGATTTTCCACCAATAGAACCATCATTGGCGATGACTTCTTCCCACCCTCTGGTACCCAATAAATTTCACATTCTCGCATAGAGAGCGTCTCTTTAAGTCCATTAGCTTCCATTAGCTTGTCCTTCAGTTTCCATCATGACTTCTGTGTTTTGGATCCTCTCCTCTGCTTTCTCAATTCGCCCCTCCGCTTCATAAAGTCTGGTGCTCGCTTTGATTTACTAGTGAAACCCTCTTAGCTTAAGAAGACTCTGCCCACTCAGGGAAAATAACAACAGTGTTGTTGGAAGAGTACAACTACAGAAGATTTCTGTAGTGGACTTTTCAAACCACAAAAAAGATTTTCTTTGGACAAAATGAAAAAAAGGATAAGGACAGAATCACTTTTGAGATTTGTATCGTCACTTGAAATCGATTGCAGAATCTTGTTTGCTGATGTTTATCAGCATTTTGCCATTCTTAGTATCAAAGACACGTGCGGTTGAAACAGGAAGGAAGGGGCAGAGGAAGTGTGAAGACAGGAAGTGGCATGGTTGTCTTTATCAGATACATAACTGTTAAGTTAGCGTGAACACTGAAGTCTTTAAGACAGAACAAGCAGTGAGAGCACATCGGTGAATAAATGTTATGGTGACCAAACAAATCATACAGGTCTTACTGGGATTCAATAATAGGTGGAGATTTAAAAAACATTGGATGTTGGTATTCAGATATTGTCAATGGTCAAATAAGTAACGTTTGAAAACTGTATGTTTGTGTAACAAAGACTTCCTGTTTTATGGTAAGACATCACATTTTGACAAGCCAACACCACTATGACCTTGAAGCTTTTCTCACAAGCTGAACAGCTTTATTTGTACGATGACTCTTTTAGCTGTACACCGATTGGATTCCCCGGAAGGAGCAGTTAATCCCAAAGGGATGCCTGGGGATGACTCATTTACCCATTACTAAATTAAGAATGGAGAACTTCCTCTTTGTTTTTTGATATAGGTCCAAGAGGCTTTTTTTCTATATTCAGGCATAATACATAAGCCGACCAATTTTCTAAATCCTAGGTTGAACGTGCTGCTAGGGCTGAATTTTAAAAATATTGTAGGAGACGACAGTGAGGCATTTAACCACGCCCACCAACAAAATCCGTATCAGTAATATCCTTTTACCACTAGCCTTTTTTCTACCAAGTTTCATGTCTGTACAAGTGTTTTAAGCACCAGGAAAATCTACTTCCTGGTTCATGGAATACAAAAACATCACCATGACCACAGCTTTTGAGGTAGACTTTGTGCTTTCAAATTCGCCAAGGTTAAGGTCTTAAAATGTGAAAAGTAGGAATCGTGTGTGACAGCTCAAGAACTATGATGTCCTGTTGTCAATAGCTGGTGCTGTGATTCAGGCTGGTCCTTGTATCATGCATGTGAAATGTGGAGATGATAGCGCACTGCATATCAGAGAAAGAGCGGTAAGCCCTCAGTGTGTACTAACCTTGATCTGTTGCCCCCTACAGGATTGTCTGCGGTACTTGAGGAAGCTGCATCTCCTTGTTCTCCTCGCTGATCTACTGTCTCTCTCCCGCCATTAGTCGAGTCTCTCTGATTGGTCTCTCCTGGCACTGCAGCTGTGTTTTGATTGGAAGAAAGGTTGGGTGTTTCACTAGGACCCAGGTTTCCTCCCAATGTTCCCATCACTCTCGCTCCTCCTCCTGTCCTCCGTCCACCTGTGAGAGTTCCTGCTGCTCCCTGCCTCCTCTCCTCCTCCTCCTCCTCTGGCTGCAGTGCTGAGTGAATTAAGTCCAGAGTGGCTGCCACTGCCGTCTTCCCAGGAGTGATCTGGACTGACTCAGTGGGACCTGAAAGAGAGATGGTGAGAGGGCTTCCCGTCAGAGGAGGGTTTGGATGAAGTCTTTGGAGTGTCTTGGAGTCTAAACGCTGCTGCTGCATCTGATGAAGCTGCTGTGCCTGTCGCTCCGCCCGTAACTGAGAGATGGCCTGATGGAGAACCTCAAAGTCAGGGGAAGACCCCTCTTTACAGGAGGCGTCTGGAACAAGCTGGTCAGAGAGGTGGGAGAGAGGAGGGAGGCCAGAGCTGGACGGATGGAGGAGATGATGGGGCTGGTCAATGGAGGAGGCAGGATGGATGACTTCTGGGAAAACACAGGGAGAACATTCAGAACCCTTCATAAATTCTCTCAGTGCGTTTACATGCAGTAAGAAAAAGTTGATTTATTGTGTTAAGGCCCTGACACACCAAGGAGATCGTCTGCCGTCGGCCCTAGTTTTTGCGGTGTGTCCGGTTCCGTCTGCTTTTTTTTTCGGCCAATTTGATGTCCGCAGTTGGTGAGAGGAATCTCTCTGATTGGCTGTTTGGAGGTTTCATTTATCTCCTGCTCTCGACTCAGGTTCAGGAAAGCCCCTTGAGCATGCTGCTGAAGTATCCATGCTTTCACCCATTAGTGTGGTTTCTCCTTATCTGTCGGCTGTAGTCTTTGCGGTGTGTTCAAGTGAAACTTTTTGGCTGCCTTTGTTTCCACTAGTTCTTTGCCGTCTGCTTGGTGTGTCAGGGCCTTTAATCTGAGCCTTTCTCCAAGTCACACTAACACTTGGGGTGTTCAAATTAATTGTTTCTGAGATGATGACGTTGACGATTCTGCACCGATGCAGTGACAGAACATACTCGGTTGTGGCCTTCTGACGTTGCTTGTAGATTTTCCAGCCATAGCTGTACCTATATTATTCATTTATTTTGGATATAACAATAAGCTAGAGGGATAGCATGCATCACATTTTTACCAGAGTTTTAAAGTTGTCCACGTTGTCAATGTTCAAAATGCAACCAGTTTGCCGCTCGCTAACTTGTTAGGGGTGGTGTAACGGAAGAAGGTCAAAGGGTAACCAGCTGAGAGGAGCCATTCATCAGAGCAGAGTAGGATATTGATTTTCCCCTGGTCCTTTTATACTGAGACAAGGACAGTAGTCTGATTGAAAGGCCTAATCAAGCAACAACTATAGCTCGACTTAACTGTGCATGTAAACGTACTGACTCAGATGATACTGGAGGACAGAGTCACACAATGGGAGGGAGGGACCGTGGACACAATGAGAAACCAAAGAAAACAGCGGGGTGGGTGCACCTGCCAGGAGCTACTGCTGCATACCAACAACAGTTTTTACATCTCCTCCAGCATTGATTGCTGTGTGTGTAGAAAAGCTGAACTGGTGGTTGGAGAGTAAAGACGTAGGCAGGGTGGGCTCAGGGGTCTGCAGGGTTTGAACTACTCTGCATGTTTTGCATGTCCAAGGGTTCCTCTTCCTCCACAACCTTCCTCACCCTGGACATGGACTGTTCGAGACCCACATCAATAAATTCTACATTAAATGAACGTGCAGTCTTGTGAATGAAACACAGTTTTCAACCGGGTTTTTATAACATGACATTTGAATCAAGTACGTTTTAAAAAAAACTGACCTTTGGGATCCAGAATCTCGTCTGTAATTGGCTGCTTGTCCTTCGTGTCCTGGTAACCAACCAGTGTGGGGAAGTCGTGCAGAATTTCATCGATACTGGCCACTACGATACCGACATCGGAGTAGGCATGCAACTCCTCAAAATGACGCTCTAAGTGACACAGAAGGAAAACACACATCAACACTGCAGTTCAGATGGTTCCTACCGAATCACAGAGAGAAGTGAAGGTCCAGAAGTGTGCAAACCAGTGAGGAAGACCGTGTGTCGGTTCAGTGTGTATCGGGCCTGCAGCTCCAACAGACACTGCAGGTCGGGGGACTGTTGGGTGTTCATGTCGCAGTGATGATACGGGAGGAACTCAACGATCTGCCGCTTCTGATAGGTGGACAGCAGGTCCAGGAGGTTGGCCGCATCTCGCCTGAACCTGGAAACAAAATAAACATACTGTATAACAGAGGTTGTTGGGCTAAGTTTAGTTACCACCTTGGAGTTTTTCGTCTATTTTTTCCATCCCAATCCAAAGAGCCCCTCAAACCTACACACCTTTTTTGAATCCAGGTAACGCTCCTTTCTACAGTTTGTGACCACCTCCTTTTTACTAAGACCCTCCAAAATATTTATTAAACATCATGATCTCATTTTCTCATAGTCCACTGCACAGCTCCTACATTGCACCTTTTGTGTTTTTTATTTTTTATATTTTACATTTTTTAATTCTATTTTATATATTGTAATAGCTTCTTATACTGTATTATTTAAGTTGTTGCTAGTCCCGCTTTATTTCCTTGTTAATTGTTTAGCACCAATACACCAAGTCAAATTCCTTGTATGTGTAAATGTACTTGGCAATAAACCCCGATTCTGATTCTGATGATGATACATTTTACATCGATCTGTTTGATCACAAGCAGTTTGAAACATGGCAGGTGATCCAAACGGACGACTGATCAACAGAGATCTGACGCACAGGGACAATGTAGATATCACCTGTACCTTGCCTGTTCTTTCAGTTTCTTGTGGGTTTTGAAGTGAATCTTCCACCTCCACAGATTCTCTAGAGAACTGTGCTGATCCAAGAACCTCAGCAGAGCATCCAGACGACCTGCAGAACAAAAGAAACACGTCGTTCATCAAGTCGGAAAAAATAAAACAAGATATCAGGACAGATGAAAATATCTCCCCAATGATTCATCTTCACGCACTGGGAGTGATGTGGTCTGGATTGAGGACCATCTCGTGGGACACGATGCAGCCTCCTGAAACAAACAGCTCGTTGAAGCTGTTGTTCATGACGTCGTCCGGTGTGTCGATTCCCATAAAGACCACAGAGGGGCGCCGTTTCAGAGACACCAGACATGGGATCTGATGAGAACGCAAACACAAACACACTTTGTGTAAGTTTTGTGTTTATTGTTGATATTTAATGATTTGTACATGGAGAGCTCAGTTCACCAAAGTGTGTGTGTGAATGTGTGTGTGTGTGTAGATTCTGATTCTACAAAGGATAGAGAGAAATACGTGAGTTACCTTGTGCACGTTTCTAGATATTTCCTCATTTTTAATGATGACCAGCAGTCTGTTGTCGGAGTTGTCTTGGCTCAAAAAGGCCTCAGGACTCTGCTGCTGCACGTTGCCCTGCTTTAACAGAAGTTCCTGAAACACACACACACACACACACAGTTTGTTTAGGCGTACACACTAAATACACATCAACAGAGGGCTGGTGTTAAACCTTGTTTGATCCATTAACTCCAGGATGAATCAAAGACTGTTTTTAAAAAGCTGCATTACTTACAGGTTTGAAAAGGTGAAGCTAATTTTGAGGTGACTAACACCTGCTTTCTTTCAAATGACCACCAGGGGGAGACTCCACTCCTTATAGAAGTAGATTAGAAGTGAGATGTTATGCTCTTAAGTTTCTAGTTTCCAATCTTTTTAAATACAGCATGATGCTCAAAAAAAAGGATGCACAAAGGCATTCTTCTTTAATTAAAATCTTTCATGTAAATGCTAGATCATAACAGGACTGATCAAATGAAGCCAACATGTGTCGGAGGCCCTAATGAAGGCCGAGTGCGTCTGAAACATGTTGGTGTACTTTGATCAGTTTCATTATGATCTAGCCTTTACAGTAAAGCTTTTCATCATGAGTGACTTTGTCTATCAAAGAGCAGCTGCTTCATGCTTTGTTTATTCACGTAAAGATCGACAAAATCTTTCCTCTTAGTTTCCTCAAGTTTACAGCATGATGCTCATTGTGTATTTCATGTGACCTCTGATGTTGGCAACTTACTACCAGAGCAACTCGTTCACCAGGATAGAGGCTGACCAGTGCACACTCTCCCCTCCCCCATAAAAAAACGATAGCAACTGCCACTATGCAAAACTTGATTCCTCAGAGCAGTTCAGAATGGGATGTAAACAAATGAGTTTCATCATGCTGACTATTTTCACTTCTTATATGCAGAGTCTATGAGCACAAAGCTGAACTCAAAAGGTCTTTATGAATCTCTACATGTATGTTAAAACATTGACTGATCCCCTCAAAAATACATGTTGAATGTTCAATAAACACCGGATCAGCCCGGATATAAGAGGTTTGTTTTCCTTGAGTATCTCACACTCAGGTACTGGACTTTGAACGGCCATATACATTCACAACAAAAGACAGAGTGCACCGCCCATGACGGAGGCCAGCTGTCATTCACTGCTGCAGTGTCAGGGGGGAGACACGATGATCATCCAGATCAAACTTTAAGTAGGTCAAGTAAACCGTCAACTGAGGAGAATTTATCAACATGAGGCGCTGGTGGCGCAGTGGTTAGTGCGCACGCCCCATGTATGGAGGCTTTAGTCCTCCAAGTGGGCAGCCCAGGTTCGAAACCAACCTGTGGCTCCTTTCCCGCATGTCCACTGTCTTATCTCTACAATAAAGGCACCAAACTCCCAAAAATGAATCTTTAAACATTGAAACCATAAATGATCTAAATGTCTCCGTTGTGAGATTAATAAAGGTTTATCTTATCAATGCAGCATTTTATCCGTTTATGATCACCATCTAAGATCTAAAAACTAGAGGATGATCTGCACCTACTCTCTACCCTGCTACATGCTCTGCAGGTGTAGGTGATCAGAGATAAAGAGGCGGCGGCTGTTTTTCGCTCTCCTTAAACGCACTGAATATGTAGCTTCAGAATCCTGATTGAAACTCTTTTAAAATGGGAGTTGTTGTTGGCACACAGCGTGCAGGAAAAAGAGGCAAAGAGAGAAATGCTAAGAGGAGAGGTGTGTGTGTGTACGATGTGAGAACTCATCCTGTAACACGGTGTTTCACTAATGAAAGTTAAACAGTGTGCAGGAGTTGACCTGTACGTTTTCTCTCACATTTTCAACATCTGGTAAAATGATGAAACTCTTTTAGTGTTGGCCTGACTTCACTTTCTAACCTGGAACAAGTTTCACCAGATTCATCAACATCAGTCATTGCACTCCCACCGTCATTAGTGAAGGACAGATTGAGAGTAAAACTTGACATAATCATGAGTTTGTGTGTGTGCAGACATCCACGCTCATAAGTATTTATTCAGTTACCTTGATGCCTTCATACACCGGGTCCCCTGTTTCGCTGGTGTGGAGGTAGAACTGCAGGGAGTTCCTCTTCACGTCTTTGATGATCTCCACCAGGCTGTTGAACACCTCTGGCTGCAGCTGGCTGATCAGGGAGCTCAGGGCTGTGGCCGGGGGAGCCGGGCCTGAGTCGGGTCCAGAGACAGCCTCAGAGGCTGGACTGGAGACCGGTCAGAGGGGTGTGATGGTTTTGCTGGTAGTGTCAACTCACAGTTTGTAACTTCAGCACCAGAGTTACAATGTACAGCCCTGGGGGCGCTGTTGTTCTGTGTTTCTCTGATGTCATTTGCAACTGCTCTAGTAATCTCTAATGTGGGACTGTGCTGTGGAGGAGTCCGCAGGACAGCGGTGCTGGCAGGCTTACAGCCGGAACCAGACGCAGAGGTAGAATCAGATAAAGTGACATGAAAAGTCGGGGACTTCCCGTTGTCTGTTGCGTCAGTAAACTGTTTGGTGATTGTAAGCGGCTGCCAAACTTCACCTCCAGAGTCAGCATCCACCAGCTCATCATCCTCTCGGTCTGTTTTAACATTAGACGCTCTTATGCTGGACACAAAAGCACTAACAGAGCTCTCCAGAGAGACATCAGCAGACGCCTGGCTGGTGGCTGCTGGCTTGCCGCTCAGCCAGCTCTCCTCATAGTCTGTTAGCATGCTGCTCATGCTGTCCTGCAGAGAGCTGATGTAGTCTTGGACGGGCGGCCGGGGGTTGTAGAAGGTCACGTACTGTGAGAACTGAGATATGTGGGCGTGTGGGAGGGCTAAGTTTCTGTGTTCGAGGTGGAGTGTGGAGACTGTGGGGAGCTGTAAGGAATGCTCTCATCCTGCAGGAGGAGCTGGATGTCAGAGGAGAAGTTGCCTAGGTTTTTGTCCACGATGCTGTCGATACCTCTGAGGGGATGAGGAGGAGGTGAGGAGACGCGCAGAGAAAAACAAGAGGCACCTGCCACCTTAGCGTCTCCCTTTCCCTCCTCACCACAGGCTTCCACCTCCATCATTTCCACATCGTCCTCTACTTCCTCGTTCTGTTTCTCACGCTCAACCGGCACCTGAGTTTCCCGTTTCTCTTTTAAAAGTTCTGCTTCTCCTTCCATCACTACCTCCATGACCCCCTCTGCCTCTTTGTCACCCTCAGAGGGAGGTGATGAAAAGCTTTTCCTGCTCTTCGGAGTTAGAGTGCTAGATGGATGGATGGAAAAGGAAAAGGACGGGTCTGCAGTCTTCTCTTCTCTGTCCCTGAAGACTCCTGCAGAGAGCAGACTGTTAGTTAGACTGGAAACACACTTGAGCACTAATGAAAGAAAACTGATGGAAGATGAAGAATAATATTTCTATCCACAGAGTTTAAGAATGTTCTGGGATCTTCACTCCCTGATTTAATTGGTCTCCCAAATTTTAATTATTTAGAAAACTAAATTTAAACAACTTAAGACCTCAAAAGCAAAAGACCAAAGAAAGTTCAAAAAGTCTAGCTTTAGCAAATTCTGCAGCAGGAAAAATAAATATTTTTTTGACAAAGCAGTCCAAACTTTTGGAGACAATAGTGAAAACATTGATGCAACAGGTGCACCCTGGGACTGACTGTGTGTCTGAGGTTACCTGCAGACTCCCTGGAGGCTGTCGGGGCGAACCGCTCCTCGTTAGCACCACGTTGGTTCTTGTTAAACAAGCTGAGCTCATTAGACTCCAGGGACTCCCACCTGGCGGGGTAGGAGGGCGGGTTAAGGTGAGGGGAAGGGCATTTGGAGGGAGACGGGGGAGGACTGGGCACAGGGGACGGGGTAGGGCCACGACACGGGGAAGGGCCATGATCAGGAGAAGGGCAATATAATGGTGAAGAGGGAGGGCTAGGAGCCAGTGTGGGGGAGGGGGAAGGGCTGGGCCCCGGGGACAGGGTAGTGCACGTTGCTGTGGTGATGCTTGTTGCCGTGGTGAGATGCTGGAAGCGAGGGTCCTGAGGTCCCATGTTTCTCTCTCTCTGGGTGTATCTCTCTGAGCGCAGACCTGCACACAAGAGTTCACACCTCAACTTTCACTTTTTAAATCTGATCAGTTTTAGTTGTTTTATTCACTGCAGTCAGGAGCTGCTTGTTCAAAACAACAATACAAAACAGCAGCAGTAGCAAACAGTCCTGCACTAAGGTCGTCAAAATGTTTGATACTTGACACCGACCTGTGATGGGGATTAGGATCCACGGGATCTCCCACTCTTCCTCCACCTCCTCGTATCCTCGTGTTCTCCCTCTTGTGTGATTCGTCTCCCCGCTGTGGGAGCTGGGACTGAATCCCTCCAAACTGCTGATGCTGCCCGCCGTCTGCTCCTACACACACACACACAGACACACAGACACACAGACACACAGACACACAGACACACAGACACACAGACACACAGACACACCGTGTTAACCTTAGCCAGCCTACTTTAAGTACATGTATATTGGGAAAACTGAGCACAAGAAGGTCCAAATATATTACGTTAGATATTTACCCTGAAAAGTATTCTCAATGAAAGTTCACAGGACTTTAGAGTCCTCAGGGTGCACTCACACTAGGCCCAGTTTCGCCGTGCTTAAATACGATTGTCCCCCCTCCCTATTCCCCTCGCTGGCCTGCACTGCACACTGCTCCAGGACTAACCAGACCTGAGCACCTTGGCTTGTACATGACGTCGTAATAAAACAAATGCATGGCTTTATATGACCATGAAGCATGCGTTTTTTTTTGGTTTTTTTTAAAGACACACAGGAGAGGCGGACTTGAAAATAAAAAAATAAATAAAAGGGAGGTGGGGTCGAGTCTGCGTCTGTACATCGGAGAACAACACAGACAACATGGCTGCTAACTTGCTGACTTTGTGGTTTATTTTCAGTCATGTTACTCAGATTCAGACAGAACACTCTGGGGTTTCTCGGTAATGGAGGCAGGGATCGATTACACTTCATTTCCATGTTGTCTACTCGTGCATGAGCAACGGCACTCACACCTCTTGCAAACCGTGCCACGGCCATGTCAGTGTACCGTGCTTGACGTTATAACATTTATACTTCACTGCACAAATCTACAGCCTCTCAGCTCTGGTGATTTTCATATTGTTCATAATCATAATGGCCTGTATGTTAAGAAAAAGCAACAAATGCAGGCGAGATTTAAAGGAGACTGTAATGAACCGCAGTGTTTTCAATTATTCAAAACATTTCAGAAAAGACCACTTAAAGCTAAAAAACAGAAATATGTACTGAAATCATCTCTTTTACCTCCAGTTCGTCTTGCCTCCTCAGGTCGATGTCACAGTTGGTGGGCAGGCCGAGCTTGGTGGCCAACCTATCGAACGGATAGGACTCACCCTGACCCACCTCTTGGACTTCACAAGGGCTCTCATTGGCCGTTCCCCTGGCAGCCTGGTTGAGGCCTGTTGGTTTGCAGAAAAACATCACCACTGACTTCATGATAACTTACAGGCTCTTTCGAGTGATGTGTGTGTTTATGCAACATGACGGCTGGAACAGGGTAAGATGAATGATCAATAGAAGCCAGCAAAGACATCTTCTGTGACTAAGAGAGCAGGGGATGGGTGAACACTTAAGTAGAGAGGAGAAAAAAAAAGAATGAAGATAAAAATCAGACTACAAGAGGTGAAGTAGTTAGTGAATGTGTTAGCAGAAAGTGTAAGGTTGAAGTCACCTGTCAGCAGGTTGAGAAGTTGTGAGGACAGTTCAGATCCATCTTCCCTCAGATCTAAATCCCTCAAACCCAACGAGCCAACCACAGACGCAAGAGAGCCAGGGGGGACGGGGACAGGGACGGGGATTCCCTGGACTGGGGGCCAAACGCAGGAGGATAAACATGTCAGTAACACAACCCAACAAAACCAATCGATAGAAAAAAAGGAAAAGGAAAAGGAAAAGCACTCCCCCCATCTTTTCTGTACATACGTTTTGTTCAGTAATAATTAAAATACATTTATAAACAACATAAGCGGGGAAGCAGATTTGAAACCTGAGTGCAGGAGCCAGAGAGTACTATGTGCATTTATGTTTTAAAGATTTGAGCTGATGATTAATACTGAAGGGTCTGTTGTCATGGATCAACTTTTCACAAACGTGAATTAAAACTTAAATTAGGTGACACAATGTTGAGAAAGTTCAGTCTTTTTTTTTTTCAAGGTATTTGTTGACCTTTTTGGCTTTATGGCAGGAAATGGCAGGAAAGGGCTGAGGTCGGATTTGAACCCAAAGCAGCTGCAACATAACCACTAGGCTATAGTATCAGCGCCCCAAATTCAGAGTCTTTTAAAAAAGCATTCTGCGCTTCAAAACCAAAAACAGAGGCTGCATCTGAGTATTTAAAAAGAGATTTGTTATTATTGGTGATATAAAGAGTTTTGGAATTTGTTTTAACATCTTTTATTTATTCAAAATATTCCTTAATTCATAAAAAGATGTGAAGCTAACTGTGGACATTATTTCCTTGTCAGTCTTGATCGCCCTAACTACCCAGACATCACCTGCATCAGAATGACAAAAAAAGAGAGGCAACTTTAAAGAGTCCCTTCACCTGCATGGGGGGGGCATGGAGGCTGTGAGTGTTAAAGTGCCTCCCGTCTGCTCACCTGGGATCTTGTCGTGTCTTTCAGGTTCCTGTGACGCCTTCAGGAGTTTAAGTGCCCTCTCTGCCGTCTCCTGATCCAGTTTCCTCTTCCTCCCCGGTGCCCTCACGCGTACCGCTTCCTCCCTCTTTACCTCGTTCTCTGCGTTCCTCTTACAAGTTATAACCAGGTCGACCAACTGCTGCATCTGAGCCACACAGAGAAGACGCAGAACTGAGGGTTTGAAAAGTCATAACTACACCAAACTGAGACTATATTTGTGAAGAAACTCACTTTGAGTTGGATATTTTCATCCAAACATCAGTCTCACCTTTACATTTTTCTTTTCTTCTCCGGGTTTGCTGGTCGTCTCTCCCCCTGCAGCCTCCCTCTGTCCTCCAGAGCTCTTCCTCATCCTGACCTCTCGCGGCTCCTCTGGGTCACAGTGCGCCTCCACAATCTGCCGGGCCCGGGCCACGGACAGCAGGTAGAGAGTGGGGCTGTACAGGTAGGAGTGCAGGTAGCCGTCCATGTTCACCCGATGGTGTTTAGGAGCAGCCGTCCCTCCCTCGTCCTGTAGGGCTTCATACTCTCCCATGGGGTACTGTCGGACCTGCAGAGCACAAACAATGTTCCAAAAGCTTCCGATAAGAACTTGAAGAAGAGTGGAGGCTTATGATCCCACAGATTAACTCTGAATTGAATCATTAGAAAGACGTACTGTGTCCCACTGTGAACACAAAAGTTGGTATTTGACAAATGAGTTGTAGAGCGACCAGACTAGACATTCAAAAACAAAAATAACAACAAAGACTAAATGCTTAATTTACACATTGCATATTAAAGATTTGCTCACATTATTTGGTTTAAGATCCTAAATGTCTTTTGTTGTCTTCGTTGATGGACCTAGATTAGTTTTGAGCAATTAAATATGACACATGTCTTTGTCACTTTTCAAGCTGTTTCCACATCATTTACATCCCAAGTTTAGCAAATGGGACCATCTGTTGGGTATCTCATAAATGGACTTGTACAGCGCTTTTAAAATCTTCTGACTGCTCAAAGCACTTTTTCACCGCAGGTCACACCCACACATTCACACACTGATGGTAGAGGCTGCTGCGTAAAGAGTCCATCAGAATAACTAATCCCATTCATACACCGCTGACGAAGCAGTGGGAGCAACTTGGGTTGTAAGTGTCTTGCCCAAGGACACATCTTACATGTTGCTGCAGGAGGTGGGGATCGAACCCTCGACCTTCTGGTTGAGAGACGACCGACTCTTCAGGTCGGCTGGTAACATCACTAACCTGGTGAATTAAATGTTCTGCTATATTGGAGCCCTGTGAAAGCAGAACAATGCTCTGATCTTAGATTCATAAAACACCCTCATTTAAGAAATCTAGTTTGGCCGTAAATCTTAATAACCTCGCTGGTTCTCTTTGGAATGTGGCCAGCAAAGGTCACCGTCGCTCATCTCACAAAGAAAAACCAGTGAAGACTTTCGTCCTCCTCAAGTGTCATGGGAAAAACACATTACACAAACAGACATTTAGGGGTTCCGGTTACCTTGCCGTCTTTCAGGCCGGTGAGGTAATCCCTCGCCTGGCGCTCCACACCAGCAGACAGGTCTGCAGGCGGGTTGGCGCGGGCTTTGACCAGGGCGTGATGCAATGCTGGGATGAACTGATTCATCTGTGGCATCACCTGGCCACCGGACATCGACGGCACAGAGGCATCACGGGAAGTGGAGGAAAGCCTTAGCGCTACAAGAAGAAAAAGAAAAAAGAAAATGAACATTTACATCAGGACGATCATTTCAAAGTAAAAGCTTCAGTCTGTTTTGGTTCTAGGCAAACGGAGACGCCATCCTCCGGTTGGTTAACTCCTCACTCACCACTATTTATTTTATTGATAGGACAGTGAAAGGAAAGAGAGAGCGAGGGATGACATTCACTAAACTGCGTCAGGGCCAAGAGTCAAAGCAGCAACCACCTGCTCTACCACCTGAGCTAAACCAGCGCCCCATGGGTTAATATTAAATGATCATCTTAAGACCTAAAAATAATAATATGGGACCATTCAGATCATAATAATATAAGATTATGATGAATGAATAATTGCAGTCCCGGTGTTACTCACTGGTTTTGGCAACATCTCTGGTGTCCGGGAAGATAAACAAGGCTTGAAGACATCTCCTCCAGCTCTCTCCTCGCTCTGTGAACACAAACACACAACAGGAAGTGAGAAAATCACACTTTTCCCCAGTTAAAAAAAAACAACAAACAAACCTATGATAGTTTTGCATTTTATTCAGGCTGTCAATTTCAGAAATGGAAAGCAGATGTGCTGAAAGTTGAATGAATGGACTGGATTAGTTTCACTGTTCATGTTTTTTCAATAATAACCAAAGTGTGTGATGTCATACCAGGGGGTGTGGCCATCTGAACACTGGAGAGCAGGAAGAGAAAGCCTTTGTCTGTGAGCGGAGTCACCAGAACCTGAAGAAAAGCATCAACAATTACATTTCTATTTCATCTTTCTAAACACTGAGAGTTTATTTTCCTCCTCCAGTTTCATTATAAAACAAGCACAACATGTTTGAAGAAGAAATATAAAAACACTGAGAAATTATCCCCACATATACTGTCCAATGTTTCGCACACTGTGGATACTCAGGCGAGCTGCTGAGGCCCACCGACCTTATTTTTATGTGTGTATAATCAGCATTGCACATGCCCAAGTGAGTGATATATATAAAGGCAGAGAGAGAGAGAGAGAGAGAGAGAGAGAGAGATGAGTCTACTGGTACGTCCCTCCCTACATGCACAGATTGCGGTGCAACTTCTCATGTTAAAACAGAAGCTTCATACGCCTTCGTTTGAATATTTTGCAACAGCTGCTTCCTGCCGATGCTTAAATTATGTTCCTCAGTCGTCTGATTTAGCATCCATAAAGTTTGCATTTAAAGACACATTCAGGTTCAAACAAACAAATCTTTAAGAAGTTCGTCATTAGAGGACAAGCAGTTTGTGCTAATCAGACCTATTTCGTTTTTTTTAACCAGTCTAGAATTGATAAAGTGGACTGACTTTTTTTAAGCAAGGGAACGGGAGAAGAAGGAGAAGAGACCATGCATTAACACAAGTCTATTTAAAATACGCAAAGAGACGCTTGCTCAATTGTACCATTATGGGAAGTTAAAGGCAGGGTTGGTAATTTAAAAAAAAACTAGCAAGACATTTTGAAAGTAGCAGCTTTTGTTTTCAAAATGTTGAGCTGCCTTGCACAAAAAATGAGGACTGATTCACGATATTAAATTGAGACGAACTCACCACTCTGTTTTTCTCCAGCTCCTGCAGCAGCACCTTCACGCTGGTCGTGGAGCGAAATCTGTCGGTCACCTCCAGGAGACTGCAGCAATGGCCACTATTCACAACTACACACAGAAGCACTCAAGTTCACTTTAGACACTTTAGTATATCTGCTATAATACAACACAAACAGCAGACACAATAATGCATCATCGCTGTAAAGGCTGACTGGACTTCACCTTCTTGGCTGCTGGTGTAGAGGTTGTAGGAGAACAACTCTGAGGAGAGGAGCTTGGTCACCTTCTCGAACCTCATCAAACAACCGATTTCCAGTTTCTCTGGACTGAAGGAAACAGGCGGTGAGATTCAAACAGAGAAAAATCAATGCAAAAGTGTGAGCACGCTCTCCTTCCAACAGATGGTCTAGTTTAGCAGCAGAGGATTAATCTGCTCCTGTCCTTCAACTCCATGTATCAAAGCAAATCTGGCACATTTTTTTGATTGTTAGAGAGGGTTATAAATGTCTTTAGAACAGCCAGAGGAGGAGGAGGAGGTTTGGTACTCACAGTCTTTGGGGAAGGAAGGGAGGAGAGAAGGAGCGAAGGGAGATCTGGTAGAGAACCTGGTCGCCTTTCACCAAATCTCCGGTCCACACGGTGAATTGAGCACGCTCTGTGGAAAGACAAAATTAAAAATAAACACAATAACAAAGAAAAATGGAGGGCTGTATTTATGAACTCTTTTTAAAAGGTCTGCTGAGATTCAGTGAGGGCTCACCTTTACTCCCCTCTGCTGATTGGCTGTTCAACCTATCCATCAAACACAGCATAAAGAAAACATATCTCACATTTAGTTTATGCATTGTTATGCATGTAAACGTCTGGAGCACAATAGCAGAAGGAAATAACCCAATCAAATATTTGTTGTTGGGTTTTTTTTTTGGCCCAAACATTCCGTACCTGACGGGTGTGAGAGGTTTGCTGGGTAGAGCAGAGTCTTTTCCTTTGAACTGGAAGGAGACGACAGCGTACGGACAAACCTGACGAGGTCTCTCCCGCAGCTCGTCGAATAAATACTCGTAGAAGTAGTGCTGAAATAAAAGCACAGAATAGCCGTTTTCACATGTGAAAAACCTGAACATTTCTCGAGAAATTCAGGAGAAATGCCCCTGAGATCCTCCTGATCTGGTTGTTCACACATGCACTTCACAGCGGGAGATTATCCCTGTTGGACGGGGGGGGGGGGGGATCTCCTGAGGCAAACATGACGTAAACAGAACGACTCGGAAATGACAGAAGAAACAACAATATCAACAAAAGAGCGGACAAGAACATACTGACAAAAAGAAAACATAATGCAGCCGTTTAATTGCACGCACAGAGATCACAATGGTTGCATGTATACAGTCTAAGGCTGTGCACCAATCGCAGGGAATAAACATCACCACCCCTTCCCATTGGCTCAAGGTGAATTCTCCTGTTTATATCCTGCTGCGTTCTCACGTCAGCTCACTCAGACTTCATGCAGAAAGAAATACTAGGGGGGCTGGCAGGAGAAACTCGGGGTGCAGTCTGAGTGAAAACTTGGCATTTGGCCCTTGGTGATTTATCATTTCAGACTTTGAAAGTCAGTAAGTCAGTACATGCCATATGTACAGGACACACAGAATGAATTTGGTGATTTTTCAAACCAACATTTCTTTTGTTTCATTGCTTCTTAAAAAGCTAGGGTTTGGAGTTGTTTTGGTCACCTGTGATAGTACATGAGTTTGGATTGTTAGATGGACAAAAAAAAATGGAAGCCCGGCTTCCAAAATGTTCACATTTCATATCCTAAGTACATTTGTAATCAGCAGATTTTTAAAGTAGCAGGGTTGCAGTTGTCTGAAGGGAGCTTTAAACTGTATTTACCTGTGTGAGTTCGAAGGCGCGGTAAGAGCTGGTCGAGGTGACTTTGCTGGCGTTCTTGGAGATGTGGCTGTCGAAGCGAGGAGTCGGATCCTGCAGGTTCTTCATGTTTTCATACATGCTCTTCACCTTCCCCTGGAACCAAAACCAAAAATGTTATACACAACATCACTTTAAAAGCTTTTTTATAACCACGTCTTTTAAATGAATATATCCAGTCAGCAGACGACTTACCTTCATCACTTTGAATATTATGATCTCCCCCATGAACCCAGGAGTTACGGGGTTATTCTGGAGCAGGTCTGAGTATCTGGACAGATACACTCCTACACACACACACACAATGATGTAGATCACAGCTTCACCAAGCTTGTTTTTAATGACTACTTTCTTGACAAACTGCTGCATTATTTTTAGAAACTACACAACAACATTTTATGAAAGAAAGGATTCAAAGGGTTACAACATGTGTGACTGTCTCTGTAAGTACCAGGTCGTGTGTGTTCAGTCCTACCTTTAGAGGGGTCTCCCAGAACTGTGACCCGGCTCTGACCCACCAACAGCCCCTTCTCACAGAGCAAAGGCACCTGAAACACACAGTCATTCAAAAACATGACAAACCAGATTAGAATTTGATGTCGGTCCCTGTTTCAACGAGAGAAAACCAGGTGATTTTTTTCCTGCAGCTATGACGACAGTCTGTGCAGTATGAGGAAGCATCACATTGTTTTTCCAGATCAGGGAAACTCTTATTTCACTTAAATAGATGAAACCAAAAACAACAAACAGGCAAACTGTTTGACAAAGTGATTGTGGGTTTAAAGTTCTGTGGAATAAGTCTTAAAACCCTGAACTGAGTGAGCACGTTATCACGTCAGGTTCTCTGCTCATGCTTGCTGTAATCCATATAGCGCCCCCTGAGAAAAGAGAAATGCTAGTGTAATACATTAGAACTCAAATGAAATACTTCCTGACTGATGAAGAAATCTAGTGATATCGGCGCATATCAGAGAAAGAATTAGCCGATATCGATAGTCACGCGATACGCTCATCAGACTACTGAGGAACATAAATATCATCACTTTAAACCATTGACTATAAATAATAACAGACGGGACACGCTCTCCAGTGGAGTGAAGCTTTTTTTTGTAGCGCCCCCCCTGCTGACTGAGGAGGCGGGGTTTACGACCTTTACTGCAGCCAATGATAAGTGTCTATCATTAAACCCTACTGCGCTGACTCTGGCTCCAAATGACATCACAAATGTAAGATGCTTTGTAACTTAAGTCTGATTGATTGATTGATTCAGACTTTGAATTTGTGAATCTCTTTTCAGGTCTCGATTCTCTGTTATCACACCGGATCTGTTGATCTTTCACGTGGTAAATTCTACAGAACAGAGGTATGAATCTCACCTTGGCAGAATCAGCCAACAGAAAACAGTAGCTCTCCTCCAGCTCTTTCTCCGTCCTCCCGTCGGCCTTCATCTCCTTCCTCTTCTCCACAAACTGAAACACACACAATCATTTTAATCAAAGGAAACATGGCTCCATGGGTAAAAAATGTCAGCACATCACACTTTGCTAAACAGCCTTTCATTGGTGGAAGACAAATAGACATAAAAAACCAGACAGCAAAATTCCTCTTTGTCATTGGTCTATATATTAAACGACTTTTCTCCGGCATCCAACTTCCTTGTAAAGTCAACATTTTTTTTGAGCAGCGGAGGAGCAGAGGAAGTGACGCTGTCAAAAATGCACAATGGTTTGTTTTTGTTAAGAAAAGGTTGCCAGTGTTTTGTGCCTTTTAGTGTGCAGGAGTTTGTTTCCGGTAATTAAAAACAAGACATGAACCTATATTAGGTGCCTTGGATTTGTATTTTTGTTGCCATGGTATCAAAATGGTTTTATTTCTACCAGTATCGTATCAAAGTTAAGAACTCTGGTATCATGACAACCCTTTGTCCTTGCCATACTGTGAACTTCTGTAATGATTCGCCCCCTCTTCAGACTGCCGTTTAAACTCCTAATAGAGGCGTTAAAGTGGCTTGATGGGATTAGTGGAGCCAGCACTAAGTGTGTGTGTGTGTGTGTGTGTGTGTGTGTATGGGGAGCTCCCACTGCGCCCTGCTCTCTTGCACTTCCACAACGTCGTAAGGAAATGTGAATTCACAGAGTGGGACACAAAAATTACACCGTTTCGGAATCAATATGATATGAATAAGTGTGATGACGGTGGAGCTTCGTTATGGCGCTGTTGCAGAGCAGTCTGAAGAGGGCTTTTGTGAAATGAGGTAACGAGGCACAGCAGCAGGACAGATTCTACCCTCCACCCGTCCCTCTCTCACCTCCTTCTCCAGCGGCTCGCTGTGGACGAGCCGAGGTTTGCAGTAGGTGAAGGAGGCCGAAGAGCTCGTGTCGATGTAACAGGAGGTCATGGCGGTCATCATGTCTTCATACTCTCTGGACTCAGTGGAGACGTACTGAAACAGAGCTGAAACACAGACAGGGACAAACACAGTACGGTCAGAACGCGTTCACACTCCCCCGGACTGTGAGGACTTCTCTCTGTTCAATTTACAACTTTTACTTAATAACCACTATTAGGTTAAACGTTACATATTCTACAAGAACTTAGAATATAAAAAAGGTACAGATTTCGATAAAAACTATCATTTTTTATGCTCCGGTTCAACGTTCTGTCTTATCGTAATTAATAACGGCGACCCTTAATGCTTCCAAGTGAGCTTCAATCTAAAAAACAAACAGAAGGTTTGGCCATCTGGAGAGCCCATAATAATAGCTGTCAGTCTGCCCTAATTATAACAGGAGCCCTGAACCCTTTATTGTGCCAAACTCTCAGGGGACTGAAGGACCTGGAGCAGCTGTATTCCTCTGTGCGCAGAAGGGGGATCAGTTGGCGTATTCAACACCTGGGAGAGGTGCTGCTGATGTGCAGTCACACCCACAAGCAAAGAAAATATTTATGGGTATAAGTTAAGCTTTCTCCTTTTTCTGGATCAGTGATTTGTTATGATTGTCTTTTTCTTTTGTTGAATATTAGTTGAAGCAGATAAAAAGAGCAGGGTAAATGTTTCTCACATCGTTCATGCAGGTATAATATATATCCATAAAAAGTGGGCTGCATTTAACTGGTTGATTCTCTGTATTTTTCATATCCAAATATACATCGCAGATAGAAAAGATACAAATATCTGTTTTTGAAATATCGTGCAGTCAATTAGAACTGATTCACAGGCTTGGCAGAACTTACAACGACTAGTAAACTGATTTTTAAGGTCGGGCTTTGGCTTAAATTAAGAGATAATTGGTTATAATCAGGATAGGTTGGTGTAAATTATAAAGGAGTAGTCTGTTAATATCCACTGAATAAAATGATAAAGGTATCTTACTGTAGATCAGACATTAAGGAACATGCTATAATGAAGTGCTGGCTTCTCTGACAACAATGCAGCAGCCAGTAACTTCTAACTTTAGATTCTGGTCCTGAATGATCTGGATTTGTTTGGACCAGAGAGGGCAGGCGGTTTCAAGGCCCCGCCCCCACACTGTTTTGGACACCCCTCGGTTTGTCAGATATGAGAGCAGTTATCAGGTCAAACCAACAGGTGTTGCAGTGATGGAAGCCGGTGAGAGAACTGGTTCAGATAGAAGTGATTGTACCCGACCTAAAAAGCCTCTGCATGTTTCTAATAAGCTCCACGAGCAGAAACGTGCTCAAACTAGGATCAATATTGGAGATGCTTTATTAAAATAATGAGGTTAGAGTGCAGAAAGGTTTCAAGACCAACGCCGATCTGGCCAAACACTGAAGCTTCACCATGGCAACCTGCGTCTCATCAACTCTAGGGGTGGAAGGGGACAGCTCTCGTCAGTGTTTTGAATATGGACTGCAGTACCCATTTGAAACTCAGTTACATATTGCTCCTTTGGAGCTGGGTCCAAGGGATGGGCAGGGTTAGGTATATAAAGTACACAAAAACCAATGGCTAGACAGACTCTTCTACTCCACACCATTTTAGCTTGAAGCTTCATCTAAATTTTCCTAGAACAACAGGACCATCACTACCATAGACTGTAAATAATGTTTATACAGTCTATGAATCAAACCTGTGATTTGGAAAGAACCTAAACTCAAACCTGAACTACATGTCAGTAATGTGGTCAGACAAATTTCTTAATTTAAGCTGTGATTTTCTCCATACTTTTGTGTTCTCATTATTGAAAAAAAAAAAAAAAAACTTCCCAATCCACTAAAATGGACTGGGGTAAACAGAAGTAAAGGAACCCGGTGTCTTGGCTTAACTTGCGTCCGTGTTAACTGGTGACATGCAGCCGGAAGCGTCCGTGGTTTTCATAGTTACAACAGATGCTGAACACGGAGAGTCCTCACAAATGCATCTTTTTTTTTTTTTTTTTTATAGTGTCTCATTATAAAATCACAACACACTCATCAAACAAGTCTTCAATGAATACTTTAGTATAACAGTCAACACGGTCACAAGTTAAACGGAAACACCTCCGACACACACACACTGAACATAAACACAACAAGGAGGCGTCCACCTTAACCAGCAAAAAAACATAACAGGAAGCTAAAAATCAAGATATAAACACTGACCTGAATCATGAGAGATGTACAGTTAATCACCAACACAGCTAACATTACCTTTTATACACATAACTTCAATAAAAAGGGTTATTAGAACGCAGGTGACGTTACCTGGCTAACTGCTAACTAGCATCCCCGACTAACTGCTAACTAGCGTCCCTACACTTCCAGTGGTGGCGTTAAAGGGGAAGGTTTTGCTCAGATTAGATGAAGGAAACTGTACATTCATGATCATATTCCGCTGTTGGTTGCTATGTGACAGCGCATGAGCCCACCTCTCTTCTCCTTGGTTTTCTTCGGGATGTGAAACTTCAGCGGGTCTATCGGCATGTGTCTCTGGTGGATGGACGGCGTCGCCGAGTTCCTCCTCTCCATCCTCCCTCCGGCGGCAGCAGCAGCAGCAGCAGCACCCATCAGTCTCTCCGGACCTGGGTAAATGTCTCTGCTGGCTGGGTGTACTTCCATTAGCTCGCCATCTTGCAGGCTAACGTTAGCTCCGAGCTCAGCGGCAGCAGACACCCTCCTCGGACGGGCTGCCTCCCTCCGAGTCAGACTGTCGTCCATGGTGGGATTCAGGCTCTGCTCCCGACCGTCGCTCTGTCACTGTATGTCGGCGAGCCGCCCCCCTTCCTCCCCCACCTCCTCCAACAATGTCACCGCTGTTGCGTCCTGATCCAGCAGCGCAGGGAGTCAAACCAATACACAACCCGCGCCATGCTTACTGTAAGCACAAGTCTTCTTCACTGAGATTTAACTGCAACTGCTTTACTAAACAATAGCTTTAGTTCCATCTTCTGGCAATAGTGAGCTATTGCAGTGTCAATATCCTGATATCTGTGACGCGTTGAAGCTGCTGTGGTGAGCTTTAAACCGGTTATGAAACAGACTGACATTAATATAAATTGTTTGCTCTTTATCATCTTAAAGGGGACATCGTATGAAAAATCAAATTTACAGTGTTTTTGAACATATATTCACTCATTCAGAAAATGCTTAGTGAGGTAATAAATCAAGGGAGAAGTGAGATTTGGACTTGTTGAGTCACCCTCCGCTGGCCATTAGAAAGATTTAAGGCACTTAAACTCTGGCTTAGATTTTTATACCCATTGAGGGCCTAAGTCCATTTTCACATAGGCCTACTGTATAAATAGTCTCTGGTCTGACCCTGGGAGGAGTATTTGGTGGTGAGACCATGAATTGCATAAGCTCGTGTGATGAGCTTTAAACCGGTTATGAAACTGACTGACATTAATATGAATTGTTTGCTCTTTATTATCTTAAAGGGGACATCTTGTGAAAAATCTATTTTACAGTGTTTTTGAACACATATTTGAGTAACCTGAGTGTCCCCTGACCCACAAAATGTGAAATAAATCCATCCAGCCCTTTGTCTGGTCTGCATAAGTCTTAAAACACAGAGAAACATGCTCTGTTTCAAATTATGTCACAAGGAGATCGCCCCTGGTATCTCTCCCCCCAGCAATTTTTATTCTCGCTACAGAGGAGTGAAGTCTACGGGGAAAACTCAGGGGGGGGGCCCATTGCAGTTAAAGAGACACACACACCAAAACGGAGCGTTCTGAAAGAGTTGGTTTATACAGGGTCACAAACCTCCTCTGGTGCTTCATTAAGGTTATATTTTGACCAAAGCACAGCACAGATGTTTCATTTAGCCCACAGCGGACTGTTTGAAAAGGTGGAAAAGAGGGGATAATATGTCCTCTTTAAAAAGCCAATGAGACCATCAGCAGAAAATCTGATAGTCACAAATAACCCTCTCTTATTAATACCTACGTTTTTTGATGAACTCTCTTTCCCTTTGACAGGTAAAGTAAGCACATTTATAACACATTTAATAGTTACATTGTACCTGTGGTTTTAAAAAAAAAATAAGAGGTGTTCCTCAGGGTTCAATATTAGGTCCTCTTCTTTTTTATTATCTACTTGTTAGTACGAATTTCCATGAATTCATATATTTTGGTAACTTTGTGAATTAACCATTTAAATCTGTCTACCATCTAAGAGTAACTCTTCTCTTAGGTTGAAGCTGTAACCATATATATGTAAAACATTGCATAGCAGCAGAGTTATATTTGGTTTGGAGCCAACTGTCTGTTGTAAGCAAAGGTTTGCTAAGAATGAAATGTATGTCTGACATTTAAGAGTCAAGCTGATGTCTTCTTTCTTGCCTTATAGAGATGTACCATAGTAGCCAAGAATTTGTAGGATGTACCTTCTAGCAGAATATAAGAAAGTCTGTTAACATAGAAACTTTGTCAGTACTTTGTCAGTTTGTGATTGTTAACAATTTATGTTCTGTTGTAACTGTCTGACCTTGGCCGATTAAACCATAGAATAATCCACAGTCTGTTTCGCGATTTCATCATTGGATTTATACAGCAGCAACAACCCCCACCCAACACTACTTTTTTGTACTTCGATTGTATGTTTATACATCTTAATTGAACTTTTGTGTGCTTGTTTTATCTGCAATAACATTTAAGTGTTTCAATTGGTCTTCATCAAATAACAACCCATTCAGTAAAATGCATTTTTTTTAAACAGTTTATTTATGTTTTGGTCTAATGACCACCCACACATTAGATGACTGATGGTATGTACAAGTATTGTCTTAGACATGTTCTCTTAATATTTGGTATGTGCAAATAACCAGTCTTGAAAACTTTGGAAACAGGTTTCATCACACCTTGTTTGCCTTTGTTATCCATTGTATCATCACAGTCTTCAAAAGGAACAACACAATCACAACAGTTGACAAAAGTAATGTGAAATGTCAAACAGATTTTCTTGACATTGTTGCATGTTTTCATGTCTAAGACATGTTTGGCTTTTTTCCTACATTCATATACAGATAGGCTTAATATACATTCTTTACATACATACAGTACATACACACAGGCTCCTCCTTCATGATTGTTCTGACTGCCATGACAAACACTCAACATTTAAATTTACTGCAGCTTTGTTAAACTTGATTCTTTTTCAAGGATACCGTGGCAAACTACACAAGACAAACTGATTGTCTTGTGAATGCTTCCAGTAGATTAATTGCTCAAATACAATACTGCGTTGGTAACCTTGTCTCTCATGAATTGCATTATTGCACAACTATTTGGGATAAGCGGAGCATGTAGTGAGGGAAAGGTCATGTTACAAGGACAGCTTGAATTTTCTTCATATCCGTAATGTCTTTTCACTGGCAGCAAACCAATTGTTTATTTCAGGACATAATCCTCTTTAATTACCAACAACAGTAATGAATGCATACGTTATGCTTTGGCAACAATTCAGAGAAACTTTTTAAAAAGCTTAAGATTACTCAGCTTTCAAAATCCAAACATGAAACAATTAATTTACCAAAATGATTATTCACTCATTAAGAAAATGCTTAGTGAGGTAATAAATCAAGGGAGAAGTGAGATTTGGACTTGTTGAGTCGCCCTCCGCTGGCCATTAGAAAGATTTAAGGCACTTAAACTCTGGCTTAGATTTTTATACCCATTGAGGGCCTAAGTCCATTTTCACATAGGCCTACTGTATAAATAGTCTCTGGTCTGACCCTGGGAGGAGTATTTGGTGGTGAGACCATGAATTGCATAAGAGGAACAGTGGTGCAACAGCTCTGAAAAAAAATGAAGAGACCACTGCAAACATACATGTTTTTTTAAACCATTACTGTAAATATGTTTGTATTTGTGTGATATATAACTTTTTGGTTTTAATGTATAAAACATTTCTTCAAATTTTCAAATGAAATATTTTCATTTAAGTCTTTTTTCTTTTTGCAGAAATTGTCAACTGAATATAAAATAACTAATATCATTAAAAAGATGCAGTGTTTCAGGGCCTTGAATAATGCTGACAAGTTCATACTCAACAGTATACTACCGTAAAGAGTTTAGAAAACAGTATTTGCTCGAATTACTCTGTTTTTTTGTGTGCCTTTGTTGGAGAGACAGGACAGTGGATAGAGTCAGAAATCAAGTGGAAAGGGAGAGAGAGTGGGGGATGACATGTGTGAAAGGAGCCATGGGTGTGATTTGAACCCGGGCCGCACACTTTGGAGGACTATAGCCTCCGTACAAGGGGTGCGAAAACTAACCACAAGGCCACCTGCTCCGAAGAATTACTGAGATTTTTAATGACGGCTTTCATGCATCTTGGCATGCTTTCCACCAGTCTTCACGATGCTGTTAGGTGACGTTGTGTCTCTGTTTTGTATACTTTTTGTCGTAAATTTTGATTTGGTTAGGGGGCATAATTACGGCGTGTCATCCCAATTGTTTTAGCTAGAAAATCTTCTCTGAAAGTCGCATAGTAAGCCTTTGAGTAAGTAGAATGAGGGATTAAACTTCAACAGAGGCTGGAAAAGGAAAGCTTCCAAGCACATAGAGATGCTGATTTAAGGAAAGTTTTGGAGTGGTCTCTCAATTTTCTCCAGAGCTGCATCATTTCATATATAATCCGTTGTTAAATGCCCACGGTCTTCTGATAGGTCAGCTCTCTGGAGCTGTATGAAAACACTTTCTGAAACCTGGTGTTTAGAGCAGAGACTGACATCTGAAGACTGAGGGATTACTCTGACGTCATTTACCTATTAATTAGACATTTACCCAGCTTAAGCATGAATATCCCACATTGTAATTATATGTGTATGTATGACGTGTAGAACAGCACAATAACCTCTCTCTGAGGTTTTCACCGATGCATAGATCATGGCAGCGTCTTTGAAAATGGCATCAATACGTCAGTGGAATGAGCACAGTACATAGGACCAGTGTAACTGGGCGCAAAACTGACTGATGTTGTAGCATTCTAGAATGAAAGGGTTACCATGGTTACAGCAGTTACAGTGTTCTGGAACTTATCCGTTGTTTGAGTTTCATATCGTTGATAATCCTTTGGCATCATCATCAAGTCTTTGATTTGACTGACTGCAGCAGCAGCGGCAGACCGTCAGTGTTTTATTGTCTTTTTAAAAAAAAAAATTGGTCCAAACATCAGCATCTAAAGCTCAGCTCCTCGCACTGCAGGGAGGCTACCTCGCCAGTTTCCATCACCACCTCCTCCACTTGCTCGGCGTCATTGTGCTCCTCCTCCTTCACCTCTTGGTCAGGAGGAGTACAAGGGGAAATGGAGGCGGATATATTAGTACCACCACCGCTTAGAACCTCACCTCTTTCTCCTCTGCTTCCTTCATCCACCTTCACATCAGCTTCTTGCTCTGCATCTATCTCACCTCCGACCCCCTGCCCTGTCTCCATCTTCACACCTGCATCCATCTCACTGCTCCTCAGACTTGTCTCACCATCCAACCCAATTTCTCCATCTAATTCCAAATCCCCATCCCCTCCCAAAACGGTCTCCATCCCTCTCCTGGTCTCTGTCTCTGGAGTTAAACCCACCCCTGCCTCTTCACCCAAACTCAGATCTTTCCCTCCACTCACACCTTCCTCTCTTTCTAAACCCAGCCCTGCCTCCATCTCACCCCAGTTTCCTTTTCCATCCTCAAGCTCTGACTCTCCACACAATCTCAGACCTGTCTCCCCCAGCGGGCCTATGTGTCCACCCAGCCCTGTCTCCAGACTCTGTCCCGTCTGTGCCGGCTGCTCTCCGGTCAGTGCCGCAGCTTCTTTCGCTTGTCTGATACAGTTGATCCATTGCTGTTTGTTGAAGGCGTCGCTGGCCTGGAAGCAGTGACTCTGCAGCTGACCTCCAAGGCGGAACGATACCCGGAAAAAGTTCTTTGCTGTGAGAAGGAGAGAGACAACAGGGAGCAGAGGGAGGTTAATGGGGCCAGAAGAGATGGCGCAAGTCCTTTTTAACCAAGTCGGCACCCAGCAGGACAGTTTTTTTTTACTGTACTGTACTTGAGGCCAACGCAAGAACACAAATGAAAATATCTAATCTGCTGGTTTGAAAAAAATATGTTTGGAGTATCTGTGGTATGTGAGATGTACTTACTACGCTCATTATTGCTGAAGGCTCCTCTGATGGACCCGCCCACTCTCATCTCCCCGTCTGTTAGGTCCTCCAGGTCCAGCTGCCGGATGGGGATTGGCTGTCGGCAGAGCTGGTAGCTGACTGGATGGTCGTTTAGAGAGATAGACCTGGTGATGACCAGGACGTCTTGGAACAGAAACACGTGAAGCTTCTGGAAGAAGACAGAGAGAGAGAGAGCGCTGAAATTATATTTTTCTCTACATGGTGATTCCTTGAGTCCTGTAAAAAGTAATTCTGGCCTAGAAATCAGTAGAACAGCCAAAATGAATACAGAAATCATTGATTGTTGGAGGTCAAACTGTTGCTTCCAGAAATCCCAAAACTTTCCCTGACTTTGAGGTGCTCATAAATCAAATGAGCTAAGCAGATGGTCTGTGTGAGGTATATCAGAGAGGGTGGAAGTACACAGGTTTGGTGAAGGTATGGAATAGTAGAAATGTACTAACGAGTCCTCTGTTGTTCTTCAGCTCTCCATGGCAACTGAGCGTCCTGGACCGGCCGATGAGTTCATCCCTGTGTGTGTACTCTGAGTACAACAGACGGTCCTTGTAGTACTGACACTCCGACTCCCCCGTCCGGCTGTTAATGTCCGCCACCACGCTCTGAACCATCAGCATCTGGAGAGAAAACAGACCAAATATAAACCCCATCCAAACATATCTTATGGCTTATACTTTCTGACTGGTTTTAATAAGTCAAACACTGATCATTCCTACACTTCAGTCAGATTCGGGTGAAGAACTGTAGGATGAAGGTGTAAAGTATCCTAACACTTGTTTCCTCACCGCCTCATCGAGGTGCTGTCGGTCGGGGTGATCGTTGGGCGTGTGTTTCAGGATCTCTCTGAGCAGCAGCGGGTATTTCACCAGTCGACTGCGGGGGATGTCCAGGAAGTTCCACAGGTCCAACTTCCTGCTGAAGGGCGACTGGAGACAGCGCTGCAAGAAGTCCTGCACCCGCCGGTCCTGCTTCTTCTGGTCCAACAAAGACTTCGCCTTCACCTGGTTACTGCAGTACGGAGTGTAGAGGAGAGGCAGGGCAGCTGCAGGGAAATACAAACACACACATGGTTACTTTTTAGTGAAACAGATGAGGAGATTCTTTATTCAACTGTTCAGAAATCTCACCATTCAGGCTTTTTTAGGGTTTAATTTGGGGATTTTTACGCTTTTATTATTTAGAGATAGGACAGTAGATAGAGGTGGAAATCGGGGAGGGAGAGAGTGAGAATGACATGCAGGAAAGGAGCGACAGACCGGACCCGAACCTGGGCCGTCCGCACCAACCACTAAGCTACGGGCGTCCCCGATGAATTGAATTTCACTGTCGCAGCAGGATAATTATTTACATGACTGACCTCTGTTTAAGTGTGTAAGAGACAGGATTGAAATTAAGAGATGCAACTTTGTCCACAGGGGTCGCATAGATCTACACACACCTGAAGTTGCTCACAGGAGCTTTACAGTAAGCCAAGATAATATGCACTCACCCAGTCAGTGAGAATGTGTCCCACATGTTCTGTGGAGCCGTCAGCTTTTCTTGCGTCTTGGAGACGACTCAGCAGGTCTGCGGAGGGGAAAGGGTTCGAAATGATGAAACCATTAAAAGAGGTTTGTTGGATCCAAAGCAAACATTTTAGAAGACACCACAGAGACAGCTACAACAGCTGATTGAGCATGAAGTGATTGTCTAAACTCAATGCCATGAAGAGTATTCGTTTTGCTGAAGACTTTCAAATACTCCTATAAACATGTTTCCCAACATAAACATGTGTTTTCCAAATTAAAGCTTTTGATTCACATAATGTAAATGATTCATGATTTCATTTCTGGGGTCTCTAATATTCACTGTATGGTCAGAATGCTGTTGTAGTACCACAATGCTCCACAAGGTGGACTTCTAAGGAAAATATCCAAACTCAGTCCTGTTGAGTTTAGAGCTGAGCTATAGATGACTCCAGCTTTTGTTTCATCAAGGCTAGATTACTGTAATTCTCTTTTTAAATATCTTAGCAGCACATACTTGAATTGCCTACATGTGGTCCAAAATGCTGCAACAAGCCTGTGACAAAATCACCTACAGGGTCCTGTGTTATACAGGTGTGTACCATCAGATTCATGTGAGGAGTGCATTTCTGTCTGAGGCTGATCCTACCTTCATGCAGAGGTATCAGAGAGTCCAGAGTGCCAAAGATCTGGTTCAGTTCCTGCTCGGTCATGATTGACAGCTTCAGCATCGGGTCATGGTAGGCCTGAGGTACACACACAAACACACACACAAACACAAACTCAAACACATGAGCAAAAGCAACCAGTAAGAGGAAAATCAGACGGATAAAGGTTTTTAGATTACCTTCTTTGCCAACTTGAGATCCTCAACTAAGTCTTGTTCGCCCTGAGCCAGCTCAAATATAGCCTGCAGAGAGAGAGAGAGAGAGAAAGTTTTTTAAAAAGACATAACTTTAGATCATTTCAACTAAAGGTACAGAAACGTTTCAGAACTATATCTTTTCCATAGGTCAGCATGGGGAGGAGAGGAATGAGTCCATCACAAATTGTCTAAATTGCAAAAAGATAATCTTAATACAGAAACTTGTTATAATTGTTTAAGTACAATCACTACAGTGTGCAGGAGTTTGCGTGCATTTAATTGGTAATTGAAACAAGAAATCACCAAAGATTGGATGCCTAGGACATTTAGATTTTTGTTGCCATGGTATTTATATTGTTTGGTTTGTACAAGAATCAAATCAATGTTTGTCATAAATATTTCTTTATCGTTTAAAAATAAATATCAAAGTCTGTGAAAAATGTTCTTAAGGGAAGATGGAAAAGTTGTTTTGTACAAAGATGAATAATGGACTGCATACTGCTGACAAGTGTTATCTTGAGACGCTTTACAAAATGGAATAAGATGCAGGAAAGATTTCTCCTTTGTATTCCTCACGTTCCTGTTGTCCACATTTCTTTGTGTGTTGGGTTTTTATGTTGCATTGAGTTGAAAGATTCTTTTGCACTACTGTCCAAGGAAAATTAGTCCCTGGGCGACAATCAAGTCCATCCAATCTAATAAATACATAAATCTACTGCTCTTCAAAGCAACCAGAAACAACCTTGAATACCTCTATTAATTAATTAATTAAAAATAAGTCCAGAGATCTTAAATTAAGAAGAAAATCCCTCCACTCCAGCAGCGTCAGCGTCTCACCTCTTGTCGTTTAATCTCCTTCGGGCTCAAAGGTTGTGTCGCTCCAAGGTGGACGTCGAACGTCTCACTCCAGAGTTTGCTGTCCCGGCGCTTTGAGGTTTGAGCTGATGCTGATGATACCCGTGTCTGAGTCATGGAAGAGCACGAGTTGGAGACCGTCGCTGGGAAAGTGCGCGACTTTAGTGTCGACGATGAGGGGGGAGGATGAGCGGCGGTTCTCTCCGTCTGAGTTTCATTACGAAAGCTGATGGAGCGCTGCAGAGATGATGGAATAAGTTTTAAATATAGAATTGTCTGTAGAAGAATATCAATATTTATGTCAGATATTTGACTTGTTTTTTTTATGTCTGATTATCAGTACCACCAAAATCACCAAAATTCAACTGAATAGACAAACACTGCTAGAGACATCTGAGCGGTGGTTCACCTGTAGCGTCTGACCAATCCTCTTCAGTGGTACTGTCTTGACCGGCGGCAGCAGGTTGGCGAGAGACGTCACCCTGGATACAAGTTTACTGCGCTTTGTGCTCGGCTCCTGAGGAGAAAAGAGTCAAAATGTGTTCAGATTATCACAGACCACTATAAAGGGTCCAAAAGTGGCTTCAGTTAACACAGTACATAATGTCCAGGCAATGTTTATTTTTTACTAATTGGGGTTATCTGTGGTGTGTGCTTCTCTGTTTCCATGTGGATTGTTGTTTTATTATATTGTATTATGCTCTTTAGAAGTTAGCTAAATGTGTGAGACAAATCACCCCATGAACAGAATAAATTGTATCACATCACATCCTATAGTATCGTATCCTATCCACAACCTTAGGCCACAGTACTAACGATGCATTGTTGTGTTAGTCCAAATTATCTGCAAAAACAGGATTTACTTCATCGTCACCTTTATAAACAAAAACCTCTTCAGTCTGCAGGTGGATCTAACATTTATAAACAAAAACCTCTTCAGTCTGCAGGTGGATCTAACATTTATAAACAAAAACCTCTTCAGTCTGCAGGTGGATCTAACAAAGGTCTGCGAAGATCAATTGCAAAAAAAGCTACAGAAATTCACATCGGGTAATCTTAAAACTACTCAACACCATTTGTGTAATGTCTTTAGTTTTACTCTAGTGCATTAAAAAACATCACAATAAAATGAATCGATGTTGTTGTAAACAAAAACTTATAAAGAACAACATGAGCTTCAAAGACACCGGTCTTAAGAAAGACAAATCAAGATAAGAGATTGTATATGTAGCAGGTTGCGGGAAAGCTGACATTGTGTTGGTAAGTAAAACAATAGTGTGACTCAAAGTCTTTCACTCTCTGCCAGACTGTCTTCACACACACACACACACGCACGCACAAAAAAATACACATATCAGGCCTCCAAACTATTAGGGTCTGTTTCTGTGTTGTAATATGCCTGCCACCAGGCTGTTTGTCCTGGATACAGACTTTCAGTAAATCAATCCGTGTGTGTGTGTGTGTGTGTGTGTGTGTGTGTGTGTGTGTGTGTGCAGTCCCAGACTAAGCTGGCCAACTAGAACACAGGAACCGTCAGTGCTCACAGTCGGGAACCAGTCGACCACAAATAAATTGGCCTTCGGCAGACGGTTATTGTTTTTCACTCCTTGATCACTCAAGAATCACAGAAAATGTTCTATTCGAGCTTCAAGTTCACATCTAAACTGGACAACATATCCTGACTTTTAATCCTCTGAAGATGCAGTTGAGGTCTTATTATTATTATTTTAAGTACTTAAAATGCAAACACAGATTCATCCTAATTACTAAAGACACTCTTATCTCTTGTTACGCAGATGATACAGTTCTATTCATCAAAGATCTATCGGTTCTTTCAGAATATTTTTGGCTCAATGGAGATGATAAATAGTCAATGTATTTTCTTAAAATAGTATATGTTTCCATTGGACATGGGTTAATGGGTTTCTGTGTTTGATGGCACTTGATTTGATTGAATCTGGCAGAGATCAATTCAGTGCAGTTTGCAAACAGTAGACTGGTTCATCTAAGTAGAGCAGGTTTACTGACTGACAAACTCACTTGGCAAGAGTTTAAATAAATAAATAAATGTGAAAAAACTAGGACTGGGTAAATGGTAAGTGGACTTGAGCTTGTATAGTTCTTTTTTAGTCTTCAAAGCGCTTTGACACCGCGCTCTGGTGGATCTAATAATCAGTCAAGACATTGCAGATTTTTTTCCAAGTAGTCCAAGATAAAGTTTCCTCACTGGGATAAAGAAACTTTTATAATCCAATGATAGCCAGGCAAGCTGTAATTTCATATCCTCTCCAAAGGACCGTCCTACAAAATAACTGTGGTGGAAATAGAAAGGGGTAAACAGAGGGGAAGTGACACAATGTTCATTGCATTAATGCTTTTCACTTTAGAGCTGAATGCAGCAAACCAGTTTAACACATGCTAGTGAAACCTGCAGTACCTTCAACTTTGATTGACTCTAAGTAGAAGATGTAACTAGTTGAGATAACTGGGACAGATGTTAGTCTATCTTTCCCGAGAAAGGTTTTCTAGTTCTCAAAGGATTCCAACATGGTTCCAGAAAAGTATAGTAGTAGCGTGTTCTGGGGAAAAATCTGGGTCTCCTATACCAGTTAGGAGTGCCAAGAGAATCTCAAAAGGAAAGCCCTCAAGAGTTTCTTGATAAAATGGCCAACCATCTCATTGGGTTCCTTTGATGGAAGGGAGCAGCAGCTGTACTCCAACTTTTTATTCCCCTGGTGATGAACTACAAGTCAAAGCTGAACCCAAAAGTGTCAGACGAGGTTTTCAATTTTAGGGTAGAACAGAAGGAAACCTGACTAGAAAGTTACTATTTCATTTCTGTAACTATGTGTCCTGACTTTGTGTTCATGTTGGTGGTTCATGAAAAGGGTTATTGAGGGCAAATCAATTCATTCCAACCCCCAAACCTGATCTGTCCCTTCAACACTATTTTCAGTTTTCCTAGAAACTGTGCCAAGTGGTGTCAGTAGAACTAAACATTTGACAAGTTGATGGAGGAAATCTGTCAATATATGTCACAATAACCTGTCATGCACCAAAGATTTCTGATCAATGCTTCCTGTCATCTTGTACTTTTTCCAATTTTGACAAAGTCTGATGTTACACCTTTCCCTAACCAATACAGATTAAATTGGCTGGGTTGTTTTTCCATCTTTAGAAATAACTGTCAATGAACATAACACAAAATCAAATCTTGAAACAAGACCTAGAGCACTATACACTTCTTGGTCCATAGGATATGTCATCCATCTTACCTCCACCTGTTTCCCCATAGTGTTGTTATTCTTGACCGACTCCAAAGAGCATCCAGCCTCAAACTTGTGAACCATGATGCAGTATGGGCTCTTCCCTACCACCATACTGCTTGACGGAAAGCCCCGAACAGGATCTTTACCTCTAGCACCAAGAGAGCGCCCAGAGATGAAGTTTTATGCAGAGAGAGTATCCAGGTATGAATGTTTTAAAGAGACTTGATGCTGATAAAAAGTCTGGGCACAGTAGAGTTTCTAGACTTTCCAAAGCAGCTTCAGAAAACAAGCTTTTAAGTATCAAAAAGTGTCCTGTACTGGTTAAGAGCCCAATGAGAACTGGTGCCAAAAAAGTGTGCCGTCTAGTTCTTGAAGGGTGACCAGCAATGACCACGAGTGACCACCAGTGGTACTCGTTTGGTACCAGAAATGTCCCTTTACAAATGTCTTGTTCTGTTTTTCTAAAAAACGGATTAGGTTGGATCCAGAAAGACGTGTACTGAGCTTTCAGACAAAACACAATTCAGCTTGATCTTCAGGTCGCTTTCAAAGTCCAAATGAAAAAGTCCAGGGAAACGTTTGACCCCACGTGCGTTCAGACTGGTCAAAGCTTTCATCAAAATCTGTATTTCTGATGCTTTTATTCCAGGATTCTTCTTTAAATAGCTTTTAAATGTCCCTCGTTCTCAGTGATGATTGTTCGCTTGCCCTCGTTTGGACTTGTCTGAAAACACACAGCTTGCTAATGCTCTCTCTCTCTCTCTCTCTCTCTCTCTCTCTCTCTCTCTCTCTCTCTCTCTCTCTCTGACTCTCTGACTCACTCACTCACGTTCCTTCCTTCCTTCCTTCCTGCTCTTCTGTACCATTTTCTGTTTTCAATTTTGTCCGCCTCTTTGCCAATGAGTCAAAAAAAAGGTTTTCTGAGTCTCTATTTAAAGACTAGGACATTGAACATTTTCTATTGTTAACAATTACAAAGAGAACACCCACATTTACAACAAGTCTACCTATTATCAAGTATTACCTCTCTCTCCATAGCTTGATAAATTTAATCCTCAGAGATATTATTGTTTGAAAACTATTCAATAATGAATCACTGTTGTTTATTTAGACTCATTCACACATATAATGCCCGACTGCTGGCACTACAGCACAAAATGTGTATTGATCCACCTCTGAAAATAGTCTCAAAAACAAACATTTTCCACTGGCTGTTATGTTTGTTAAAAACTACAATAACCATCTTTTTTTCACAAGTCTTTTTTGGAAATAAATGTTATACTTGTGAGTCTTTTTTAAAGGTTTTATAGGTTCAGTGCACAGAGTCCCAGAAAGAAGCGGGAAATCAAATATTGATATTAAGGTGTTTGTTTACAGTAAGGAAGAAAAGGACAGATGTCGTAAAGTAGACATGAAAGGCAGGATCAGATCACCTTAAAGTACAAGTATGACAGAATGTACTGTAAGTTTTAACCACCTACGTACAAACACACGGTCATGGTGCAATGAGACCAATGCTGGTCGAAGTTAATCTGAACTGTAATTACTACAGAGAGAAAAAAGCCTGCAGGCAGCGACAGATCTGCCCTATTTCTACAGTACAGTTTCAATCAATGAGTGAGTGTGTGTGTGTGTGTGTGTGTGTGTGTGTGTGTGTGTGTGTGTGTGTGTGTGTGTGTGTGTGTGTGTGTGTGTGTGTGTGTGTGTCCCATGTGTGCCCAAAAACAATACCCAATCATCATTGTCATCATCAAACAAAACCATCATCACCACTATCCTCATCAATAATATCATTAAGGTCGTAGGTGTTCATGAAAAAGTTGGGTCTTTAGCTTTTTCTTAAAGGTGCAAAGGGACTCTGCAGATCCTGTCTGTATGGGCCTGGAGTTTTATTTATTTATTTATTTATTTATTTTTTAGCAAAATTCCAAAAGCAACAAAAGAAAATGTTTTGCTTTTGATTTAGCTGTTGTGACGACCCCTCCACATCTATTGGTGTTCCCTTGCTGCTTGTTTGTTTTTATGTTGCAGGTTCCGGTCAAGGCGGGGTCGTAATCAGGGGATGAGCTACACCTTGGCCCGGTGTTGTCCCCATCCATATAATCCTCTTCTCAGGACAGATGTTTGCTCTCATCTTGTTCTTATACCCCGTAAGAACATCGCAACATGGCTGTCTGATTTTGTTTCACAATTTATTTAATTTTATTGTAAATAAATGTTGTGTTATTTTGGTATACCTCGTCTTCGA